GCTACTCGCCTTCCAGGATGGGGACCGCGTGATCCTCACTGTGCCTGGTTGGAGACACTAAAAGATATGGCTGCCAACTGATGTCAGTGGCGTTCTTGTTGTCAGTTTCTGTCCAGATTGCCTGAGTGAATGTCTGGAGGTGTGGGCACCTCGGAATGATTGTGTTAAGCTAGCACCGAGTCCCTCCCCCATCCACCTTTATTCTTTTCTTTACAATAAGGCTTTCAAATAAGTCACGGTTATACGGCAGTGAAGCATCGGTGTTGAACACTGATGTCATGCTGTCGATGACGATGATGATGCTCTCACCACTGAGCCATCTCACCGTCCTTGAAAAGCATGTCGATAATTGCTCAGCTGTAACACCCTTCAGGTGCCTAGCTGCCATGCTACCCGAAGGAAGCACGAGGGCTGGGATACTGCCCCGTCGATAATACTCACATGTCAACAGGATGGCACCTTGCGATCTTCCCATAAAGTCCAAGAAAGCGGGCTAACTGGAGTAAGAAGAAGCTATGATCCAAAGGTGTGTGTGGTTGAAGTGAGGCCGTAAGATGTGTCGATGTACAGTCCGAGTGTGTCTCATCTAGAAGGCGGCCACTTAATGAACCACGTGTTTCGTTACCGCCCGATCACTGGCCTCTGTAGACAACATCAAGAATTTCCTGCAACACCAGACCCTTTCTTGGTCATGATTATCCGTTCTTGGATTAGACATAACTTTAGTTTACCACAGAGGGGCGCAAATTCACTGACCGGAGGGTCCGTGGTTCGAATCCGACCTCTGCCTTTCGACTTCCCCTATCTAGGCTTGGGCAACGTGATAGTATTCCAGCCCTCGTGCTTCCTTCGGGTGGCGTGGCAGCCAGGCACTGGGATGGTGCAACAGCTGAACGATTTTTTCGGTCCCGGATGCCAATGTTGGTCACCGGAAAATGGGAAAACGAAAGAGATATGGCGAAGCATTGGACTGAATTAAGAAGCAAGCAAGCAGCTATGCACTAAAGGTGATGTCTCTGATGCAGAAGCGCTACTGATCTCGTAACTACCAGTGCCCATAACAACCGATGAACTGAGTCCATGGCCGTCAAGAAGAGACTGGAATTTACCGTGTTGTGACGCTTCGCGTACCTCTGCGACCCAATGAGCTATGCCGCACGACACACTCATAACAGGTTGGTCAATAGATAGATGTCTGACGAACAGTCTCCTGGTCCTCCAGGTTGAGGATTGGAACATGTATGGCTACTTGTTCTGCCGAAACTGGAATGAAACTGCGTTTCCAGCTAGACATTGCTGCCTTGCAGTTAGGATTTTGAGCCAAAGGATTTGGTTGAGGACGCTCATTGTCCTCCTGTCTAGGTGTGGGCGCCCTGGTAGTATTCCACCCCGCGTACAACGGTGAGTTCCACACACAAATAAACTCATTCTACACTGGTCGTCGCGTGGTGCCGTCAGTGGGGTCGCCTAACACGCAGGGCAAGCAAATGAAAACACACATTCTTTTCCCCTTTCCACACCCCATTAATAACTCTCTCATTGTAGGCACAGTACTTAGGAGTGATGACTCCTTTCGTCATGCATCGGATTTACAAGCGACATCTCATCATCATCATCATCATCATCATCATC